CCCCGGACCCCCAGTCCTGGCGCCCGGCCCCCCGGGGGGCGCTCGGGGAGGGTCCCGGACCCCCGCCCCGGAGGTTAGGAGCGCAGACCCCGGAGTCCGGGCGATGGGGTTCCCTAGGCCCCCCCGAGGGCACCCCGCTCCCCCCTCTCCCCGTTTCCGTAAGCCCCTGGGTGGCCGAGGGAAGGGAGTGAAGTCCGTGGACAGGTGACGCGGGGTGGGTGGCCGAGCCCGGGAGGGGCTCGCCAGCCGCACAGGTGAGGCCCTGCCCGGCTCGGCCCAGCGCGGACAGGTGGAGGCGCTGGCCATGTGGCCTCTCGCGCGAGGGACAGGTGTGCGCGGCGAGGGTCAGGTTAGAGAAGACAGGAGTAAACTCGCTGTGGAAAATCCAACGGCCTGATAGGGTAACGGGCTTACCTTTATTAAGCTCTTCACTTAGGGGATGGGGTTTCTCCCCCAAATGCTCAGAAATTGCCCCCACCGTCCCCAAGGGTACGTTAAAATGGTAGGAGTGTGACATCAGTGACACATGGACCCGTCTACGTGATTAAAGCCACCAACACAACACCACGTTTGCTTAAGCCACTTCCCTAAAATCCGGATTCACCAGGTAAATTTGGAGAACTCAGCTTGGTTCCCGAAGGTAGTTTTGAGGATGAAAAGTAAGGGAGCCCCTGGTTTTGTGATGAACCCTGACAGGGAACAGCAAGAAGTCTCCCAGAGAGTGTGGAGAGGTAGGCAGTGTTGTGAGGAGGGAGGCGCCCCTCCCCGACACAGCACACCAGATATTTTGTTTCAGACCTGCACGTTTTCCATATTTTCACGGCTCCACACGGCTTCCGATTTCCTTGACATCACTGTCTTACGGTGAACGGCTCAGAAATAGAGCTGCAAAGTTTGGATTTTGAAAGGGAAAAACAGCGAAGTCCTTCCTTTGTACAGAGTTTTTTTCCCCTGTTGATTTCTTTGATTCCTACATTGGCAAAAAAGTTGCCAACAAAGAATGTAATGTTATATTCTCTTTTGGAAGCAGAAAGGACCTTTATTGTTATGTTTTTAACCAGAAGACCAATCAATCAATCAGTCAACCCCAATTGCAAGGCTGATCCCTTTTCTGGGAGTAATTATAGTTGAGAAAGAACTCAGTTTGCTTCAGATACCCTTCTAAACACCATTCTTTTGCTATCGTTCTCTGGGGAGAGAGCCAGGACAGGAACGCGCCTCCCCTTTTGCAGACGTTTAAGGGAGATTGAAGGAATGTTTCTGATACACGTGGTCTCAGAGGTTAAGTTTGTTAAGCAGTGACTCAGGTGCACTTGTGGTGTGCGTTTCACGTTTGTGCGGTGTGGGTGATCCGTGAGCTCCCCTGAAACAGCTCATGATGTGTCCTCAGCTCCCCGGCTGTTCGTTCGACACAGATTTATTCAGCCAGGGCCTGTTGTGTTGGACAAGCCAGGAGGCCCTGCCTCTTGCGCCCCACGCTGTGGGGGGCGGAGGAAGGTGTTGACAACGAATAGTAACACTCAGTGAGGTGGGCGGCGGTTGGGGTTGGAGGGTGTAGGGGAGAGGAAGCAGGGGGAGGCCGGGGGGGGGGGGGGGGCACGCTCAGGCAGTCTGGGCAGGGGGCGTTGGGGCTGAGACCAGTGCCGTGAGGTGCTCGTGGAGGTCAGGGGTGAGCGTGTCGGGGGCAGATGAGTGGCACACGTAAAGGGCCGGGTGTGGAGCCAGCTGCGCGTGCCCAGGGGGGAGAGGCGGTGTGGTGGGGGGGGGGGGGCCCACAACCCCCGGGCGGTCCGCGGCTCCGTTTATCCCGAGTGCCAGACGGATGCCACAGAGGGCTTCGGCAGGGGTGGGACAAGATCTGCGTCTGTGGCGGCCACGTGGGGAATCCGGGCCTGACAGGATTCCATTACAAACAGGGTGGAGGCGGGAGGGAAACGAGGAAGTAGGACAAAGTATATTTCTAGAGCCAGGAGGCCCCGCTGCAGGTTTGGTTGGGAAATGCGTGGCAGGTGACAGGAGGTGCAGGTGACCGGTGTGTGGGGGCCCCGGGAGGAGGAGGAGACAGCGGCATCTTCCAACTGCCCCTCTCCGTCTGGGGTGGGAGACACCCTGGCTGGGGGCCGGGGGAGGGTCCGGGTCCTCACCTTCCTGACGCACCGGCATCCTGGAGAGCGGTCCTACCCCTTGCAGCCCGGGAGAGATCCCTACAGATGGGGGGGGGGGGGGTCGGGGGAGTGGCCTCGCTGCGGGTCAGAGACCTCAGGCTTGCGGCACGTGGAAGGCGTCCTTACGCGGACGGAGCCTGTGGCACTCACGGTGGCAGGATGGTGGCCGTGGGAGGCGCTGCTCTAACAGAGCTCTCCCTTCCCGGCCACACGCCTGTGGAACGGGGCTCCCGCACTCACACTTAGAGAACTGGAGTGGGAGCGGATCTGCACACTTGTCCGTGGCGGGCCAGCCCACTGGGGAGAAGGCCTGTGCGCCTCATCAGACGTGGCTTCTTTGCCAGATGACTGTTCGTCAGAACACGTGCTGTCATTTTGTCGGCGTCGGTGGGGTTCCAGTTCACGCAGCCCCGGCCCGACCCGGAAGACGCGATCACAGCCTGCGGGCCTAGAAGAGCAGGCCTGGTTGGACCTGCGTGCCTGAGTTCACGTGCACACCTGCAGGTGGCCCCGTGGAGTCCTGCCGAGCGCGAGTCCGTAACCGTGGCTGTCCCGTCCCGTCCCGCTCGCAGCGCGGGGAGCGGTGGTCACAGACGCAAAAGGGCCATGGACTATGACAGGGAGAGCTGGTTCGCGGGCGTGGAACACGGATGGCCGTGGAGATCATGCTGTCGCGCTTCGATTCCAGCAGACGTGCTTAGAGGAGTGACCTAATGGTTTTATTTTAAGAAGCCAATATTTATAAAATGCTGGAAATCCTGTCCTTGCAGCTGTTAAAACCAGGGACGAGCGGTGTGAGCTTAAGTGCCGGGTTGTCTGCAAAGCGGTCGGTGGGGTCGGGGCCGAGGAACGGACCAGGGACATGGGCCCGGGAGGCGACATGGGGGCAGGGGCTGGGTCCAGAGGGAGAGGGGACCAGGGGGCAGCCCGGGTTACCCTACGGAGGCGGCTTTGGACAGGGGACGGGAAGGGAAAGGGACTTGGGAAGGCGCCCCGAGAGACGCGAAGTAGGTTCCAGAGGGAGGGTGTGACGGCTGCCGCCTGGTGCCTCGTTGACGGAGGGCTGGGCTCAGCAAGCTGGAAGGCGAGGACAGGGCTGGTGGGAGGGCTTTGGTGGAGCCCTGGGAGCGAATCCTCCGGTTCAAGAGAGAACGGTAGTCGAGGAAGCGGACAGAGTCCTTCCGGGGAGCTTTGCAGTAGAAAGAGAAGTGGGGCCTTAGAGGTCACGGGGGACCATTTGCGTTTGAGGGTGAGCTGAGATTGAGGCTGGCGGGAACGTTGCAGGGCTGTAAACTGCCAGAGAGAGGTGTGCAGTGAGGAAGGTGGGGGTGGCCTGGGGCCTCCCAGGGAAAAGTGGGTGCGGCGTGCCTGTGTGGGGCCGGACAGAGTCGGGGAGGAGGGGCCGTTAGGGGGAGGCCTGAAAGATCGGGTGGGAGTTTGACAGACGGAGGGAAGAGTTTCCAGGACGGGAAATGAGAAGGGGTCGCCGAGGCCGGCAGCTGGCCGTGGAGCAGCCCTGCAGAAGCACAGTGGGGGCGGCTGGGGCCCCTCACCCTGATAAAGCCCAAAGGAACCCCGCTGTGGACCCTCCCCTGCGCCTTCCTGGGCCTGCAGGGTCAGATTTCCGTGAACTTGCGTAAGGCTGAGACTTGGGTCTCTCTGGGATGATGCCGATCTCTGCCTCATTTGTGCCACGTCTTCTGGGCTCCGTCTGGCTTGTTCTCGACCCGCAGCATGACCCGTGTCCCCAGTTACGGCCGCGAGCACGGATGTCGTGTAGGTTCAGGGCACCGGCATTGATGCCCTTGATGTCGCTGGAGGCAAACCGTCTGTGAGTCGGCCGTCCTTACATCATGATTCGTGCGGGGATAACGCTCGGGGTGATGTGGCAGGACTGTTCCTTCCCGCTGTGTGTCTGTGGGGAGGGGAGACCGTGCCTGCAGGACAGAGTCTGTCTTAGAGGAGGAGTGGTCCGGGTGTTGCGTAACCGAAGGCCTTTGGCTTTTGGTGGCTTAAAAATACACGTGCTCGTTAGTTATAGCAAGTTTGCCTTCGATCGTGGCCAGAACCAGGTGCAAAACGTTGGCACGACGTCAGGGCAGAGGTTGACACAACCCTCGCTCTGACCAGGCCGCGGCAGTCCTGTCCGTGGATTCTGTGTTCTCAATGTCCACACGTCCCCCGGGGCCCCCTTTCCCCGGCACGCCGGGCTTCCCGGGACTTGGTTCTGTGCTGCTTTGCTCTCCACGGAGCTCCCCTCCTTCCCCTGAGAATGCACGAGGTTCTTTTCGTCACCAGCGCTCCCAAGGGGCCCAGTTCGAGAGTGTCCCACGAGGCCCACGATTAAGAAGCAGGCCTCACCCTCCCATGTCTCCGTGTGAGGGCTGTCCGTCGGAGCTCTGATCTGCGCGAGAAAGTCGATATTACCTCAGTTCCCATTCTTAGGGGGGCAGAGTGCAGACATCTGTCTTCCCTCTTTGCTCAGAAATCCTCTTAAAAAAACCACACCTGAGCATCGGAAGTGTCGATGTTGGCTTCGATGAAACTCAGGGGCTCAGGAAGAGAAAACAGAAGAAGTTCTAAGAGGTGACACAAGGAAATCCGGAGGCTGGAGGGCCCGAGCGCGAGGGCGCCAGGGCCCCCGCGAAGGTCGGTGGCGTAAGACGGAAATTCTGAAAGCTTCTGGGGGCAGCGAGTCACGTGCAGAGGTGGCCCAGCCAAGAAGGTGTCAGCCGTCCCAGCCGTGACGTTGGACGCTGAGGGACGGTGGAGTCCTACCTTCCCTGCGTGGAGTGAACACGGCCGGGTCCCGGCAAACCGTCGTCTGTTGTCTGAGACGCAAGCCGAGACATCTGCAAAGAGGGCACATCTCCACAAAAGACGTCCCTCCCGTGCACCCCAAGGAAACCCCAGGACAGTGTGGCCCCCCCCGTGGAAGGAGTGACCTAGCGACGGGACGCAGGGACGGGCAGGGGCTGCCTTCTGGCTTCCACACACAGTGTGTGTGTGTGTGTGTGTGTGTGTGTGTGTGTGTGTGTGTGTGTG